TCTATGTTACCATGCCCAATTACCTAACCCTTGAAGTTTTCACGTCCATCCATATAACAAAGTACATATGTACAATGTAATAATACTAAAAATCAATAGTCATTAATTTAGGGCGCGGTCATCCCTGACAACCACCACCTCTCCCTCCCTTAGTGGAGTGAGGGACGGTTGTCAGGGCTCTCCGCCCATGCGCAGACTTCCCAACGGCGGTCCGGCCGTCCCGGGCAAGCTTTATTACCTCTTTAGCCTCCCTTATAACAGCACGTATCTCTAATTAGTTCTTAATTACATCATAAGAAGTTAATTCTCCATTATGAGTGAGTATCTCTCATTATTTAAAAGCTATTGCAATCGTACTTTGCGCTTTTTAAATTAAATTGTCATTTTACATTTCAATTATTTTTATTGTTCTTGTTATTCAATTGTGTCTGTATTTTATTGTTTCGATGTACAGGTGAATTATCATTTTGTTCTTGTATCGCGAAAGCTGTTTTTCATTTATCCGTCGCCATTTTGAATTTCTTCTAATACATTTTCAAATTATTGAAAACAACTATGTTATTGGCTATTGTTTTCTTTATCGTCTTAAAATGAGTTTTATACTCCCACCAGCATTTATTCGCATTGTTCTAGACTTTTAGCTTTTGCGTGTTAATTATCTGTTCCATTTTATACGCTACTTCAAAATTAGCCTTTCGACCACACCCTTTCAGCAATTGCATAAAATAACAGTTTGTTAATTGATTCCTTTTTATTAGAAACATGGCTGCCATTTTGTTTTACCAAGAATACAGTTCATTCTATCATTAAGCATTTAAAACCCCCATTAAAGTTATAAGCCAATTACAATTGGATGTCCGCGCATCGTGATATACTGGTCTCATTATTGATTTCACTTGTATTCCCGGGCGCTCTGTAGAATTGTCCCGGGAACGAGGCATGCGCAGTTGGTCCCATCTCAGCTACCTCTCCCAGTTATTATTGATTTTATCCTGTGAGGCGGTACCTGTTGCTAACGGACTTGTTTCGAATATCGCCTTTGTTTCTTTCTCTGGTACAATGTTTTCAAACCATTGTCTCTATCTTCTAGTGGTTATATATTATAGCATATTGGAATTACTTTATTACGTGGCGCTTTTATATTTTCAATTATCAAATGTTTAATTGAAGCGATGATTATTTTTTTCTTTTTATATTTTTAGATTCTCTTTACCAAAAGCTACTTTGATAATTTTAACTTTCTGATTAAATTGCGATATTTTTATTAATATTTAGTATCAAAAATATTTAATAATTTAAATTAATCTATAACGATTTTAATACTGCGAATAATGATGATAGGCGTTTTCTCTTTTCGCTATTTTTTTTTCAATGATAATAATAATTACGAGAATTAATAAAAACTTGTGAAGCAAAATTTATATACGATACTAGTATAACTACGAAGTTATATACATCTTAATACACCGGTAAATCTTATAAGTTCTGTATACGATTAGACCGTGTTAGATCCCACGCAATCGAAAAATACATCACAATAATGGATTCGCGAAACGGTGAGCTTGAGCGATAATCTAGAAATCCGATGTGGTCTGGAACACGCCGCAACCTAGATAATGCTGTTAGCAAACTCGGCCATTGTTTATTATTTTCTACAAGTACGTTACCTGAATTTGACTGCAAATATTTGCAATAGACATACCACGTTCGTGTTCGCTCTCACTTCATCCAAACGTTTATGTCTAGATATTACGATAATACCGTTGCCGGATTTAGATCTCAATTACATTAAATCAATATATAAATTACTTATATATAACGCAATAGATAATTTTTATGACATTGACGATAACATTTAATTTGCAAATTTATTTGAAATTATTTTTTTTTACCTTGTGGTACCATCGGATTTTTTATAAGTGAACCAAAACTTTAACATGAAATGGTTGTAAAATTTTTATTTTCACAAATTTGTGAATAGACTTTTGAGATTTCGCTCTAATGGCTAACGAGAAAAGGACAATACCGTTATATACGTTATTTTTACGTGTTCGAGTCTTGAAATATGAAAAAAGAAGATTGATTTCTAGAAGATACTTGAAGAAAAACCGACTGGTGCTTTTGTCGGGTATCTTGTGCATGCCGCGTACCTTACAGCCGCATGCACAAGATATTCGAAAACAGCTCGAGTCGCTGACACCGGTTTCTGACAACTCGCGGATGGATAAAATTATATGACCGAATTATCAAGCCCTCCAGAATAAATCCATCGTATTCTCTCTCTTCTCTGAGTTTTAGGGTCATAAGTTCTTTCCTGAGCTTATTCTGTCTTAATTTTTCTTTAATTATTATTTTGATAAATTTCCATTGTGCTTGCCGCTACAAATAAACAGGCTGAGTTTCCGCCCGTAGCAGGCCTTTATAATTATTTCTTCAATGCTTCAATACCTTTATTACCTTTCATTAATGATCAACATTTAAAGTATGCCTCGACTATTGCAGAACTTGCTCACTTAGAAATGATCGGATTGGTGCTAGATAATGTATTTTTGCGTATTCTGTATTTGTTATGAATGCGTACCTATTGCTACTGTGAAAAAGAAGAAGAAGCAGACGTATGCTGGTGTCGGGTATCTTGTGCAGGCTGCGTTCCCCTACTGCCGCATGCACAAGATATTCGATATTAGCTCCAGTCGCCCACACCGCACTGCCTGTCATCACTACGCGTAAGTATTGGAATATTCCGATCTGAAGACTGATTATCGTAAGGGGAACAAATCAATATCGTTCTATTTATATGTCTTTGTCTGGAAAGATCTTACGGACGTCAACAGGATGTCGGGTGCAAATAAATTTGAATATGAATATACGTTTCGAAATCAGCATCATCGATGCAGCCAATTTTGAATTTCAAATGCAAAGTTTTCGTCGCGCAAAACACTTTATATTCAGGATTTTCAGTGTCCTCGTTTTTTTATTCGTGAATGTTTTAATATGAAATTTCAGCACTGGAAGTTTCCACTTGTTTATTTGTTATACAACAATGTGTAACTATACATAGTCTACTTGAATTTTTATGTACTTGAAATTTTTATTTTTTATTGTTTAATTATTCGGTGACGTCACCGATCAACTTCAGATCCATCGGTGGACTTATTTTGCCAGTTTCCTAACTGCAATCAATAATTTTATTTTTCATTAGTAACCTTTATACCACTTGGTTAACTTTAAAGGTATCCATTATCTTAAAAATTCTAATTTCTGGAACCAATACTAGCAGTATAAATATTACTATTGCCGCTCTAGCTGAGATTCAATACAAGTCTTAGAAGCTATTGCAAACTACTTCTTTTAGTTTATTTCGTCTGTAGGTACTTAAATCTTGCGCAAATTGTAAACAGTGTTACAATTGAATTGGAAATATCGGATTGATTCCATTATCAATAATTTATAAGAGTCCTTCAGACAATGGTAAACAGATTCAGTGCGCAGTTGAGGGGTTTATATAACCTCGTTTTATGAATGTCTGATGACCATCATTTCATATTTATTAGGGTACATATCGCTGATCCTACATACATAATTAATTTAACTTCAAGATTCTGCATCGAATTACAGTGTTTTTCAGATGGTTTAATTTTTTTTAGGTATTTACCTCAACCGATGTTTTCGCGAAATTTATATATCCTAAATAATTTTGTGATATTAATACGGTACTTGCTTTTTTTAATTTTCGCATTGTAACTTAACTGAGCAGTAATTTATAATCCATAATTAATAATTATACATCTGTGTATGTTATTGGATGTATTTGGAATAAACCAACGAAGCTTATCTGTAGCAACATACGTTTAGGAATTGTCTTTGTTTACTGTACGAATTGTATGGACTTGTGTGGTCAGGGTTGTTGGTGCCTCTGAGTGAGTCTCTGTGCGATATTCTAAATTGCCTGCACTCCATATCACTCGAAATCAATTGTTTGTTACGAATGTAATTATACTATACTAAGGAAAAAGTACATTTTGATCTATTACATGACTGAAACTTTGCATAAAATATTTATTAAATTCGGTATGCTATTTAGCCGTGTAAGAACAGTTGAGGTGCGCCATAAGTGGTGTTGACGTCTTTGACAATGTCCCCCGCGCTTGACGAATGCGATTCGATAAGTCTCTTTTGTTCTCAGACTATTGTCGGCTACCGCCTGCCACACGATTAGATTGCTTGTTGATAGAGCACGTTACTAAACAATGTACACATGTCTCATTTTATTTTTAATTTCTAGTCATATTTAATTAGTTGATCGTAACATTAATCCGTAACGACTTTATCAAGAAGCGAGCGTACCTCTTCCTGAAAGTCCGGCAACGTCAATCCCTCTGGTGTTGAGGGATATATCCCTTACATCATTACATCAACTGCTCGTTTGCTCCCTTAATTAAAATTGAACTTAAAATGGACGTCGGAAAGGATCCCTAAAATATTGTGCGAAACTTTAAAATTTGTTACACTTAACGATGTTTTTTCTCTATTCTTGTGAGCTAGGAATTACCATCTGTGTTGTTTTTTCTAAGTCCTTCATGTTTCATGACTTTTATATTAATAGTTATTGAACCGTGAATACTAATAGGTAATTTGCTTCATTATCACGTTTTAAGTATCTCTTGGAAATACTTTGGTGGCCAGTTTAATATTAAACACAAAAATGTTTGATGCACCTTCTCTTACCAACATTTCTGGTAAATTCTCATTTATTTGTTTTATTTTTGTGCATATACAAAAAAACTTAATTAGTAGCCTACGTGTTCTTCCAGACTATGATCTACATTTTTGCCAATTTTTTGAGTCGTTTTGGACATACCTTTTTACTAAGATACCAGTACATAGTAAAGTGACCAAAACTGACCGCTGTATTCTGCGAAAGTTTATGTTATATCAATATGTAAGTGCATTTTTATATAGTTATATTGCATTACTAATTATTATTGTTTTGTTATCAGGTGACCCACAAGACGTCAGGCAAAGTGATGGTGCTGAAGATGAACCAGCAGCGCGCCAACCGGCCCAACATGCTGCGCGAAGTCCAGCTCATGAACAAATTGAAGCACCCCAACATACTTGGGTGAGTTTTCTTTAACGAACGAGCAAGCAGCCACATGTTTTCACGAAAACAGCGTAACTAAAGTACACTAACGTGATTATTGCACGTGCAATTAAGTTGTATAGTGGTCATCGCCGACCAAACACCATTCATTTCAACGAGACGGCAAAACCACACTATTCCATTTTCCTGGGTTGGTGTAATAAATGGTCTAATGGTGTTTGCCTACAAAAATCATTTTGAAAAGAATACGTTGAGAAGAGAAGCAAGATAATAACTGACATCTCTCTCAGGTAAAATAATCTGCTTGTGATAGCTATTTGCTGTGTTCTTGTTTTCACTATTGTTAGTGCATCAATAAATTATAGGTCCATTTCATCGAGCGTTCGCGATATTTCAAACGACGGCCCCATTATACAATTACAGTTTTATCTTATCTGCCCTGTTCGTTTACCTTTCTCCGATTACGCGGCTCTTACGTTTGCTGTTTTGTCGCGGAATTCTTCATGAACTGCTGTGCCTAAATACTCGATCATTCAACTCTTTATTTGTATGTTAATTTTAGCATTTGGTTTTTGTCCACCGTTACTGAATGTTAGTACAACGACATACCGCTGACTTGTATTTTCTTTCAAATTCCTACCCTTTGTGTAATCTCAACCTGAACAAACATAACTGGAAATAATTCCAGCTTTATATGTGAATGTTTAAAAAATGCAATAAGTCAATATGTATGCTTTTGCTTTTCTTTGTGTTGATATTGTACAAAATATCACACTCATAATTTTAAATGAACGGTCAGAAATAATTTTGTCTACGCATGTTTTAACTTAAATGGCATTTCTTTCCATTTGCTTTTTAAGTTTGCTAGTGGTACTGGGTCTTTAGTATACGTCACAATATTTAGTGGAAAATCGTCTAAAGTATCGGCAGAATATTACTGCACAATACGTCGTAATACAAAATAACAAAATCATTGAATGGAATACATAACACACGAACGGTGAAACGCCAAAATCACCAGTAAAAGTGTTCACAGTGAATCTCTCTTAAACATGAACTGTTCTTGCTTTCGCCAAATGAATTATACGATTCACTTACTCCCATTCTCATGGCTTGCATAACTCTTACATCCGTCCTCGTTGCGCCTTTTCACGTAACCTTTGTTTTGAAAATTTCTCGGGTCACGCCGCCACCGCTCACTTCTTGAAGAATTGTCATCTTTGTATAACATTTCGTTACGAAATAGTCGCGACCCTCTCAACAATGCGCTGCTGTTTGCGGCCCGGATTTCGGTTCATCTCGTTTGTCTTAACCAGCGACACAATACAATTCAGTTCCAATTGTTGCGCAATCATTATCTTGTTAACTGCCAATTAAAGCGCTTTCTTTTGTAGCTTTCTCGTCTCCGTAGACCGTTTTACTGTGATAGTTTGCTATTAATATTTACTGTCTCAGCGTGACGTGACACTTTATTGACGATTGCAAGTTTCCTAGGCACAAGTATGCGTGGACTTACTATAAAGCACTTTGCATAAGTAAAATAATAATAGCATATCGCTTTTCATTTACCCCATGAATCATCTTGGGATTTAAAATGTTATCCAAATAAACCAGAAACGGATTGTGATTAGAACTCTCTTTTGGAAGGAAATAATAGTCCTACAAAAACGCAAATAGGTGAAGCGTCGGTTAAACTTCCTAGGAAAATTTTCACTATCAATCGGTACGTTGCGTGCGCGTGCGTCGTATGTCGAATTTATTTTATTTTTCACGGTAGTTGCTTCATAATTGTGCCCTCTTTGGATACGAGTGTGCACGCGAGGTCTTTAATTGGCGATTTGCCTTGCCGTCTATCGCGAAGTGAAGTTGGTAAACGTCAGTCTCGTAGTGTAGCACTAGTGGTTTACCATAGGGATCTAATAATATTATAGCCTCATTGTCTCTGGTTAAATTTTTACGAGGAATATGAAAATATAGCTCACGCGGAAAGATTTTTGAAAAAGTTCGGAAAAAGGAAATATTTATGATATTTTAAGAATTAATTTTCAGGAGCAAAGGTCCCCTAACCACTGAAGAGTACAATAACCGTTTGGTAATTCACAAAATCAAAGGATTTAATGTTATAGTGTAAGATAAATACGAAACGTGTACCTTCCATGTTCCTCTATAATGCATCCAAGATTTACGCCGTTTATAATTGTGAAAGTTTCAGTGTTCGCGCAAACATTATATTCCTATAGAAATTCGAGCTCAGTTTCTCTGCTTCGATAACAACTATAGATCGCGGGGACATCAATCATAAATCTAATCATGTACTGCATCTTGTGTCGGCTTGTTGCTACCTCGCCTCGTTTCAATGTAATTTAATATAAACGGTTTAAATAGGAAAACGGTGAGAAGGCAGCGAGCCCGCGGTTTCCATAGTTTTCCATTTGCATGGCTCCCGGCGGCGAACTTTCATACGATCGCGCATTATCTACCGACGTTGTTTGTTGATAGTCATTTAGATCATATTTTCAAAGATATATAATTCCTATACAATTTTTTTTATTACTACTTAACAACTAACCCTCATAAAATTATGGTTCCTACATATGTAACGGTGAAGTAGTCCTAGTCCAGCCAACATACATACCCAAGAAAGGCAGTGAGTCGTATACTCTCGTAATTTTAAAAAATAAATGTATGATAACATTAGCCTTATTATTCAATTACCTCTATCTCCTTTGGTGACTTCTTTACAAGACCCTACAGTATATTATGTTTTGGTCAGGTTCATGGGCGTGTGCGTGCACGAGGGCCAGCTGCACGCGCTGACGGAGTACATGGCTGGTGGGTCGCTGGAGCAGCTGCTGCTGACGCGGCCCGCAGACCCGCTGCCGCAGCAACTGCGCGTCTCTCTCGCCGCAGACATGGCCAGCGGTCTCTCGTACCTGCACTCGCTCGGCGTCTTTCACCGCGACCTCACCTCAAAAGTTAGTACACATTTATATAAACCTATACATACCAGACGACGGCTGGCCATTCCTGATGATTACCGTCCCGAGTGCAGGACAAAATGTATCTCTTCCGTTAAAAAGTGACAATTCTATTGTGTTGCAACCGAATTCATTTTTTATTACCTTCTGTTTTTTTTATTACATCATCACGATAGATAGTTTCCTTTGTCTTTATCTAGATACACATTTTTTGACGATGTTGAAACGTTGTTTTCAGAATGTCTTACTGAAGAAGCTTGGTGACGGAGAGTACACAGCAGTCGTGGCTGACTTTGGTCTTGCAGCTAAAATTCCTCACCCTGTGTAAGTAGTAATTAAATATAACCATAAATAGTCTCAACGCTCAATAACAGATTACAAAGACATATAAGATGCTTATACCTCTTTAAAAAGAATTTAAATAGTCGAAACCATTGGAAGTGTCCGAAGCGAGCGCGCATGCAAACGTGCGTGTGACTGCGCACGCACTCGAGCGCGCACATCTCCATTGTAATACTGTTCACTGATAATTGTTGGCTAATCGTCACCTGTAAGTGAAGCTATTTCATTGGTGATTATCCTCTATCAAATAAATTAACAATTTGAAATACTAATTCATAATACTAAACAGTTGTAACAAAATGGATTACCTAAAAATAAGGATAGGAAAGATACGGATTTTATAATGGTTACTGACGCACTCTGTAATTTAAGGGAGACCCTAAGTCTAGATTTAGTAGGAGAAATTTATGAAATGTGTATTTGTGTTTTCAGTAACGGGTACCGCCTGCCGAGCGTGGGATCTCCGTGGTGGATGTCGCCGGAGTGCCTGCGCGGCCGCTGGTACGACCACCGCTCCGACATCTTCTCCTACGGCATCATACTCTGCCAGATCATCGCCAGGGTCAGTCTATACGATATACATATTTTTTGCACTCTGTCTCTAGATTGGGAACCGACTCGAAGGACCAATTTTTTTTAAATTGTTTGAACCTTTGATAACTTAGGCTAGATTCAGCATCATAAATGTTTATGTTACCAATTTACGACTCTGAGCACGGTAATTTTTTTTATTTGTCTAACAAACTAAAGTTCGTATTACACAGGTGGACGCGGACCCGGACGTGTTGCCGCGCACAGACAACTTCGGCCTCAACTACGTGGCCTTCGTGGAGCTGTGCGACGAGACCACCGTCCCCGACCTGCTGCGGCTCGCCTTCAACTGCTGCATTGTGAGTACACACACACACACACACACACACCTCACTGCATGTCTGTCTAATTGATTTTATAGGCGCAGATGTCATCAAATATCATATCATTAATGAAACATTGTAAAAGGAATGTATCGATTCCAGTACGACGCCAAGGCGAGACCGCTATTCCCCGAGATAGTGAGCAAGCTCGCCGAGATCAAGGAGGGGCTGGACGACAACACCTGGTCAGGGGGAAACGCCAACAACACCTTCGACAGGTCGGTGTTCCGCACAATGCGCGGCTACTTCTGCTGCTGGTTCACATTACATAAATAGAAAGTTTGCACGTTCTGACAACTTTGTATAAAATGTTGTGTTTGCGTGCAGCGAGGAGTCGGAGTCGTCGGGGCCGCGCTCCTGTCCCGGGCTGTGGGCGTGGCGCCGCCCCACGCGGCACCGCTCGGAGGGCAGCCCGCACCACAGAGATCGTAAGCATTTTGTCTGACATTATACAAAACAACGTTTGAATGAACTCCTTCAAACGATGAATTTTCTAGGCCTCAGAGTAAGTGTGAATGTGTAGAGGTGAGGGTTTTGTTTGTGCAGGTGTGGCGCACCGCGGCTCGCTGTCGGAGCTGGAGTGGCGGGGCGCGGGGTGCGGCGCGGGTGTGGGTGCGGGGGTGTCGGGGGGCGCGGCGCACAGGTCTGCGGGCGCGCTGGCGCTGCCGGCCGCCCCGCCCCGCCTCGCGCGTCTGCAGCGTCTCGCGCACGTCATGGTGCTGCGCGACGAGCACGCCGCGCCCCGCGCACCTCGCCGCGCACTGCACGCCTTCCGCGGCGTGCACAAGATACTAGAGGTCAGTATACCATCTTACATTCGCCTAATTATATATGTTGTATACATATCGTCGATGGGAAGAAAGAAGAAGCCGACGTGTGCCGGTGTCGGGCATCTCGTGCAGGCCGCGTGTCACTGCCGCATGCACAAGATATTCGATACCGACTCACGTCCCCGTCGGCGGCCGAGACTCCGTGCGGACGAACGAGTTTGAATATTTCTATAAAAAATTCTATTAGGTTGCTTCTGACAGATAACCGAGTAAAGTGTTATTTGTGACTTGTTGCAGGCCGCGCCGCGGTGCTCGTCCGGGTCCCCGCCGCCCGGGTGCGCGGGGTGCGAGGGCGCGGCGTGCGCGGGGGAGGAGGAGCCGCGCGCCGCCTCGCTCCCCCCCTCGCCCGGCGTGACGCGCCGCCGCCTCGACGACGCGCCCAAGCTGCAGTACAAGGTGACCCTTCGCCACATATATACATCTCGCTCATTACAAATTCTCGGTGGACGAGTAACGAGCGAGCCTACTCGGTGACATTCCAGGGCGACTCGAGCGCGGAGCTGCGGCGGCGCGGGTCGTGCGAGAGCGGCATCTTCTCGGTGGCGAACGAGGAGCTGTGCCAGCACCCGAGCCTGTACGGCGCCATGTGCCCCTGCTCGCTGAACGGCTGCCACCGCTGCTGGTGGCGACGCGAGCCGCACGACGCGGCCGGCGAGCGCGAGGCGCGGCTGCGCATCT